AAGGCATGAGCTAAGTCCATCATCATTTTACAGCCCAGACCACCTTCATCCAACACACCACAACACTTATTCCAAGATTTCTAGTGGATTTTAGAATTGTTGGGGGAATAGCCCCAAAAAAATTTATTAAAAATTCTTTCAATATGAGTAAACACAGCATTAGTGGGATGAATGGTTTGAAGCATAGAAATGGGTAAGGAATATAACACACTTTTAATAAGGAAACGTATACCACCAAAAGAAATAAAATGAAATTTCCAAGATGAAAGCTTTTTCTTAATAGCAGTGATAATATCATAAAAAAAATGACATTTCATTACCTTTGTAAAGAAGACTACCAAGATATTTAATAGGAAGATTACCATGCAAAAACCTAGTTGTATTCTTGATTCCATTAATACGATTCAATTTAATGTTCTTAATAGTATTGAAATAACTTTAATTGAAGTTAATGAATAAACCACTATTCTCCTTATAATTATGGAAAAACTTTATAAGGAGAGTGACCATATTAATAGAACCATTAGTGAATATTATAAAGTCATCAACAAAGCTTAAATGATAAATGGGCAGTCCTCCATTGGAATGGAAATATATAGATTGATGGTTCATAAACAAATCATCAAGGCTTCTAGACAACTATTCCACAACAATAATGACAAGAGCAGCGGAAAGAGGATCCCCTTGTCTAAGACCTTGAGAAGCTTTGAAGAAACCATTAATCTTACCATTAATAATAATGGAAAAATAGCAATTCTTAATGCCTTTTTTGATAATTTGTAGAATATAAAAACCAAAAGAACTCATAATGTTGTAGAGAAACTTCTGACAAATATAATCATTAGCTTTCACAATATCAAACTTAATATTGATGTTCCCACCCTTCACTTTAGCATTAGTCTCATGGATAATTTCTTGAGCAAGAAGAATATTGTCAAATATTGCTATCCCCTTAACATACTTGGTTGAGAAGGATAAATAATCTTAAGAAGAAATAAAGGCATCCTACCCATTATAATCTTAGAAATAATCTTATTGAAAAAAGTACAAATACGAATAGGCCTAAAATCCTCCCAATTGTCGATAACATTTCTCTTGGGGATAAGCACAATATAAGAAAAAAATATATTTTGGTAAGGAAGTACCTCCAAAAAAAAATCCAAAATAGCATTAATAAGATCATCTTTAATAATAGCCTTAGCATTTTGAAAAAAAAAAAACAATCAGTAAAGCTATCAAGACTGGCTATAGACATAGAATTCATACCATGAATAGTATCATGAATCTCCTTGAAAAAATAAGTTTTTAAAAGACAGGCATTGTCCTCATCAATAATCAAGTGAGGAATAAGATGACCTTGAGCAATAAGTTGGGTGAGAAATTTTATGCAAGAAATTCTTATATCTTTTCTTTTTAACAAAGGCATGGATGTATTTTGTATTCTTGTCACCCTCACTTAAATATTTATCAACAGCTTTTTATTTCTAGTATATTTCCTCTTGAGAAAGAAGAAGGTTAAGGAGATTTTTGGACTCTTGTAACAATTCAAATTGTGATCATTAGGCTTATTCATATTAGCATTCTCCATAAGAATAACTTTCTCTTCAACAGCTAGAATATTAGAGGAAATATTTTTGAAAACATTTTTGTTCCACCAATTATTTTTTAATTTCATCCTTTTAAGTTAAAGTCAAAGCCTCAACAAACCACCACAAGAATTATCAGGGTGAAGAGGATCATTCCAATTATCCTGCACCAGACTGAGAAACCTCAAATCAAGAAATTACATATTTTGAAATCTAAAATAGAAGGGGAATGAATAATTTGAGTTAAGGGGAGAGTGATAAAAAGGGGTTATGCTCAGATGTTCCACATGATTATCATGTTTCGTCTCAAAATTTTTCACCACATCAGAATTATCATTTGAATTGCTTTCTCTATAGCATCAATGTTCATAGAACCAAAAACAATATACCAACATCAACATTTTGATAAGAAACCAAAGTTCTCTTTTGTAAATTAGCCATTTTTTTATTTAAATCGCATGGCATTTGAGAAAGAGCATGGCATTTGAGAAAGAGCTAAAGAAGCATTCATATCATTATTATTCCATAGCAACCAGAGCTACCAAATCCTGCAATTGAGAGTTCCAAATACTAGATTGCTCAGAAAAATTATTATGCTAAGAAGATAAAATAAAGCATTAAAAGGTTCATTCGATTCCTCAATTAAGCCCTCAAACTGACCCCCAAGAATGGAATCCAAGACAACATTTACGTAAGGGATATTATCTTTCTCCAAAGGCTGCAAATCATTATTATCCTTATAAATAGGAAAATTGCGTGGGCATGAATCTTGTAATGGATACAAAATAGATGGATACTTTCAAATTCAACTTTTTGCGAAAAAAAAAACCAAAATTTTCAGGCCCCACCCAAATTTCTTTAAGATACTTTTTCATAATATCCAACTCAACAAGGACCCGAGCTATAAATGGACAAGAACGCGCAACTATAGCTTGATCGATTTGAAGAGGCCTCCTAAAAATTGAAGCTAACGCATGAATGCTTAGCAAATTAAACATATGCATACACATGTTAAGGAATGAAATCCATGTAGGGACAACATGATACTCTTCGTTGATGCCAAAGAAAAGAATCCATTTTAAGATCCTCATTTGACATGCATTACTATAGTAAGATCTTCTTGAGAAAATTCAGCTATGATCAAGATCATTAGTTAATTGAATAGCCACATGTCTTAAATCCAAAAGAACAACAGAAAAAGAACAAGACAGTTTAAGGTTAATAAAAAAATCACTGATCGTATTGAGATTAGGATGGCTCAAGGAAAACTTTCCCACAAGTGAGGCATCTAGTATTTCTACAACATATCCAAATATCACTGCAGGAACACTTTTACAGGATGTATGCATAAAAGAAATATGTGTGTGTGTGGGGGGGGGTGGGTAGTCAAGAAACCACATCACGAAAAGATCTCAAGTTATTATGAATCTCAATGAAACCACGTAGCTTCCTGTTAATAGTTGTTTTGCCAGAACCTTAAGGGTTAAAGGACAAAGGAGACGCTATGAAATGTCAAGAAAAACAAAGTAACAAAAAACAGATGTGAGAGAAATCGAGAAAGCAATTAAAGAAAAAACACCAAAGGTTGAAAATGGCCCCATGCCTAAAGATAATGCTCCGAAATAAAACAAAATGGTGTGAAAACACAAGTGAAATGAGTTGATGATCGTTGGCAGCCAAAACGTTAGAATCGTCAGAGCACAAGAAAGAGGAGAGGTCAGGAAGACAGGGAAATTATATTATAACCTAGCCTTATGATCAGCACACAAAAGAATGACATGTAGGGTCTCTAATATTTGATTCCTTATGAATCACCATTTAACCTCCTATCTTTTGAAACTTCCAGCATCTCTACTTGTCTTTTGAGAGAACTACATAAGAAGTTCATCCCATGAAAAAAATATCTCTATTTTGAGTTCACAATAATAAAAAAACCAATGCATTATTGGCAACCACTGCCAATGCATTTGCCAAAACATCACTTTGGAGGTAAAAAAGAAAAAAAGAAATCATAAAAACATTAATCTTAATATTGCCTATAAATGTACACATCACAATATATACTATTTGCTTTGCTAGGTATGGTAAATGATCTAATAAAATATGTGATATTCAACATAAAATTTTGATTAAATAATGTTCAAGTTCATTAACAAATATGTTTTCTATCTGAATCATTAATAACTTGAATTAATTTTATTAACACATTTTCTAATGGAGGTCTCATCATTAGGATTATAAAGAATGCAGTTTATTAAAAATATTCAAGCAACCACTTTCTTTAAGCTTGGAGGAGGAAATTGTAATGCCCAATATTCCCAAGGTAATGCTTCAGAGGATATATTCAAAATCTCACAAAATGTTTTGCAAAATATAGGTTTACCTCTCTGGAAAAATAGATAGCCAATTTGTTGTGATTAACGTTAAGACAAGAGACGAGAAAACCAAGGAAGAGTAGATTTAAGTTATGGAGGAAATATCATCACAAAAAATAGGAAGGTCACCAGCATAAACCAAGTGAGATATTTTGGCATTATTATGAGAAATAGCTTTAAATCCATTGTCTGTACAATTATCAGCCATTATAAAAGAGAAAATAATGATGTCCATGATAAATAGAAATGAAGAGAGTGGGTAACTTAAGTGGATTCCAAAAGATAATTGAATGTATCCCCTACGTTCATCATTGATGTTAACGGAGAATGGAACTTCATCAGTAGAACTAAAAACCTAGTTTACAAAGATAGTAAGAAAGCCTAATTGAATCAAATGCTAGTAGAAAAAACCTTCCTATGATCAATTTCAACACATAAATATTTAGGATAGCTTGCAAAATTAAAATCTATAGAACTCATTTACAACGGTATTATAGCCTAAAATGTTTCTGACATGAATCAAGGCTACCTAAGCATGATTAACAGTATAAGGAAGAATGCATTTAAATCTATAGGTCAACAGCATGGCAATAATCTTTTGAAAAGTAATACGAAGACAAAAGAGTTTTAAAATAATCAAGTCTTCACTGAAATTTTCTAAGAATTAATGTAATAGCAGAGTTCATGATATAACAAATGATGGACAACCGTCAAGTTGTCAACACAAGTAGAGGAAGAATTGAGAATTTGTTTAGCAAGAAGAGAAAAGTGTAACAACAGTATCAACAATATTATTCAATTAGCATAAGCCACGACTAGGAGAATAAATTACCTTGATGAAATTATGGTCCTACCTAGCTTCACATTAGAAAGTCTCTCTTCCAAGCAGTGGACACGACCTCCATGAAGTTATAAGCTCTAATACTTCTTGTAAAGGAATCCATGTTTTTTATTAAGAAAAGAAGCAATGTAAACAGCAATTGGTGAATGATCTAACGTGATGAATGATATTGAACATAAAGTAGGTCCATTTCAAGGATGGATAAATGATAAGACAGTTCAATTTATTACTACTTTGTCGTTTTAAGAAAATTCGCAAATAGTGTTGATAGTTCACAACAAATGCATAATGCTCTAGAGAAACAATGAAGCAAAAGAATAGTCGGACTTCTTCACAGCGAAGAAAAGAGCATTCAAATTCGGGAGATGAGAAGGGGAGCGGAGAGCTGCTCTTCTTCTCCATGTCCCATGGCTGGATGAAAGATGTCCAGGTTTCCATATTTCTCAAGCACACGCATCCGGCATTCTTCTGCAGCCATAAGTCCGGTGGAGAAGGCTCCATGCACAGTTCCAGTATAATCTAAGCTTGTTGCCTCCCCAGCAAAGAATAGATTATCGACAGGAATCCTTAGCCTCTCAAAAAGATAATGAGGCTTTCCAACGGTATCATAGCTATAAGAGCCCAGAGAATTCACATCTGTACCCCAGTGTGATACCAGATATTGGATCTGTAAAGTAGGAGAAATAATATCAGATGAAGATAAATTCAAAAAATATTTCTGAGATTTTCCATCATTAAGATACAAGATGATAAACAGAGTCGGAAATAACTGCAACGCAGGTCTTTACAAATGCGAGCATTGACGTTGTGCTATTTTTGTCGCATCAAAGAGAACTGGCGATCAAATTCATGACTGTTACATGCAAGAATAAAAAGGATAAACCAATAGTTTTTTTAAGGCGTCACCACCAAAATGACTTTTCTCTTTTATAAGATTTAAATGAGAATTTAATTCTTAATAAGACGACAATGAAAAAAAAAAGAAAGATTAATTTAGCCAAGCCACATAGTGGGATAAAAGCTTATTATGGTTGTTGTTGTCCACCAAAATGCTGCGCTTGGAAGGAAGGAAGCTGACCAAAATTTTACTGACAAACCACTTGAAGATGAACCAAATCCCAGAAGGTGAAAAATGGATCAGATGTTTGGAAAATAATTATATCAATAAATATAGATGCAATTTTATGAGGAAGAGAGGAAGAAACAATTAAAAATGTAAAATACAAATGTTTAAAATTACAAGATTTTACATAAAATAGAAGATATTTTTTAACATCTTACAAAATTTTGAAGTTTTTATTTTTTACACCAATTTTTTTATACTAAAAAATTTCGCCCACATAAAGCTCCCATCATTCTGAGTTGTTATAGACATTGGTCTACATAATGAGGTAGTCGAGTTTGAGTTGTATTGCTGAATGGAACTTCATAGATCTAGAGTGAAAGTTTGGCAAAGGAGCCAATTTCAAGGTGACCTTAGTCTATAAAGAGCTTCATTCTCCATTGAGTGTGCCTTGTGAATTTCGGTTAAACTTAAATTTTCTACGCTTGGCAAACTAGTGGATGACAGCTCCAAGCATAGTGTATTGATCATTTGCTAAAGCTTAAGTTTCGTTGATTTCTATCTTTTAAGGAGTTTGATTTGTTTTGAAAGGTTTGACTTTAAATGGAGTATTGTGAGTACTTTTACGCCTGCCATTGAAAAAATTAGTCCCTTGGAGATTTATAGATTTATCTTTGAATTTGAAAAGCAAATTTTTATGATAAAAATTCCCTTTGATTATGATTTTCTAATAATTGAACCCATCATCAAGAAAATACCCAAAATATATTATTTTTATAGCTTAAGTATGATTTCCATGTTGATGAATCCTACTAGTTATGGTTATAATAATCGTATCCATCATAGAGGTAGGAAACATATTTTTTTATTTTAATTTTAATTTATTTTAAATATTATAGAGGTAGGAAACATAAAAAATTTGTAATGAGGCCTGTCGTCCTGATAGGGTTGATATCTTCAATCAAATCATAGATTTAATTAACTGCTGGGAAGTTCTCTTTAATTCGCATTGTCATAGCTTACCAAATTGGAGAAATTATAGTGGAGAAATTATAGAGCGCATTTGATTATTAGGTGCGTTGAGTACACCCCTACCCACTTCACTATCTTTCGTTTATTAGCAAAGAAGAATATCAGCAACTCAACAGGACAATCATCTCTATCTCACTTAGTCCAAAACTAATCAACTGGTTATTATTACTCTTTTTCAACTCTCTATTTGCTAAGACTTTTCAAGATTTGGAGTTCTTACCCAATTTTTGAAGCTTTATGACCGATTAAAGATATTGAATCTTAAGAGTTCTGTATCGCAAGCACTAGAGATTTGCATGAAGTGAACCCTATAGTTATATATTTTAGTAATCTTGATTATCATGAATGACATGAAGTCTTCAACATCTTACTTGATTTGCTTAATTTACAATTGGTGCATCGACTGTAGATGCTGTGCCACTCCAGTTATAATAATTTAATAACTAAAACCATTATTCAGGTTTTTGAGTATTTGTTTTATTTAAAATCGGTGAAATTGGTAAATAAGTTTTGTTGGAAACCCCTCAGATTATGATATGAAGTAATTATACCCTACATAGGGGTTATAACGCCCTGAAGTATTCTTTCATTAACTTTTGGAGGGTATTACTATATAAGAATTTCCTCCAGTTATTTGGATAATTGAACCTATCATATGGGTAAAGGGATCGAAATACTAGCAATTTAATTGTTGATGAATCATTTTGATTATGATATTCTAAAAATTGAACAAATCATTGGATTTTTTAGTTTATGGAGTAGATTTGTTTTATGGCTAACGACATGGTTCTTGATAATAACCCCTCCGATTATGAAATAATAACTAGTCATATCACTCACATAGAGTATAATTATATGTGGAATAAATTTTCTTTGAAAATTGAGAATGATGTGTTTATATGTGAAATTTGTTGACCACGTGAGCCTACGTGACTTGTGTGTGGCTTATTAGTGATTTGATGGTGGAAAATTTAATGTTGTGTAGTCTAATATTTTGCTAAATATTTTATTTCAAGTTAATTATTTACTAACAACCATGGTGATGAGATAAAATACTTGGCTACTTGCAAGTACCTAAGTTGTGTAGAAGAACTTGCTACTTGTAGGATGAACTCAAATTGTACAATTCTTGCAAACTCGAGAGCAAGTTCAAGATCCAAGATCAAAATTTATGCAGGATTTGGACAAGATTTAAGCTGAATCTGTTTGGCAGCAAGATTTAAGTTAAATCCCATTGTGATACAGGGAATATGCAGGATTTCAATAGGATTTCTGAAATGAAAATCTTATTAAGAGGATACAGGATTTACGCAAAATTTATATTAAATCATGGTAAACAGCCAGTTAAGCTCTCTATTTTCCAAGAGTTTGGCGGATTCAAGAGATTTGGCCGAAGAAGCACGCGAGAGGGAGAAAGATGGCTACCTTAGCCACGAGCAAGCTCCAGTTGCCGTCGTTACTTCCGATCCAATAGAGAACGGGGATGAGGTCGTGGGTTGTCTGGCTAGGTAGCCAACTGTTCGGCTTGTGAGGAGGAAGGGAAGGTCGGGCTCTTGTGTCTAGGGCAGAGAGGACCGCTAGTTTGGACACAGATGGCTTGCGATCGGTTGGCTAGCAGAGGAGTTCAAAAGGCTTGAGGGAGGAAGATTGTGAGTGGAAGAGCGTGGAATCGTGGAATGCAAGTTTTAGGAGGCTTCGGCAGTGGAGTTTGCGGGTGGAAGAACCGCGAGAGACCGCTTTCTCTATCATTTTAACGATGCAAGGAGGTCGCAAGATCGTGCGGGGGTGTCATCGACGTGCATAACATGCCTTCGGACGTCCGTAGAATGAGATTTGCACGAGTTCGAAATCTTGCGCAGCAACGCCAGACAGGTATGAGGCGCACATGAAATCCTCTCTTTTCTTTTTTCTTTTTTCTTTTTTCACATTCGTTTATAGGTCAACACATACAACATTATTCGTTGCTAATGAGTATTTTGTTTATAGATTTAATTATTTATTTTCATGTGCTTAATTTTAAGTGCCTTAAGTTGTGTGGAGCTTCAAAATAAGTTCAAATTTACACCATTGCACACCTGATTGACCCCATATCCCCCCCTCCTCTTAATTAGCCTAGAATCCACAAACTCCTCTGATATATAGTTTGCAATATTCATATCCACTAGATATGAAAATCGAGGTCACTTGCACTGGGTTGAGATTTTAAATTGAAGATTTGAATTGATATTTTGACCTAGATCAATCTTGAATTGAACCTAGTGTCAATCCATCAACCAAATTTTTTACCATATTCATTTGCGCCAATTTCGAGCTAAGTTTGGGTTAGATTGACTTAGCTTGAAATCAACTCAAACTATAATTACTATGTATGCTTTTTAAATTTTATATACACATATGCGTACATATATTTATGAGTACTATTATGATACAGATAATTAAATATTTTTAAGAAATTAAAAAGCGAAAAAACTAGAGATAAAGTAGTTCTATTTTTAAGTTATTAAATTAAATAATTGGCATTCATCATTTTCTAGAAACCAAATAGTTATAATTTTCAACATGAATTCATTTTAAAAAATATTACATGCATTATAATATAGTTAAAACTTAATTAAATACTTATTTAAAAAAAAAATTGCAACAATTATCATATTCAAAATGAAAATTAATGACCCTATGATGTGATAATTAGCTTTTAGATACTTTCAAATTAGAATTTCACCATATGCTATTCCAATTTATGTTCCAAAGTTGTAACTCGCTATAAAATCATTTAATTTTTAATCAACCCATAATTTACAACAACATGATTTGACTTGAAGATTGAAGATGGCTCACTTGAAATAAGTTTGATACAACTTGAAATCAAAATATGATATAAACACAGTTATGAATGTTGACACATATATATACAATACATCTATATGCATTCATAATTACATAATAAACAAATAGAACGAATGCACGAACGCATGCGCACGACCCTTAAATACATTTTGAATACTTTATAAAGATTAAAATCTTGCTTGCTAATTAAAAAATATTTCATAACATTAATATTCTTTATTCCAAACAACTGGAAATTTGGGTTGAAATCGATCAGTTTTAACTAAACATAAACTTACTCAACTAGACATGCATCATGTGATGATTAATTTTTAAATATATTTGAGTTCGAATTCAAAATAATGTCATACAACGATTATATAATGTGCCAAGAATATGGGTATACACTCAAACACACGCGCGCGCGCACACACACACATGTAACAAGTGTTCAATTCAATAATCAATAACAAGTTGTGACAAGGAATTTTAAATGCAAGGAAATAGACTTGGCAAACAGGAAATATTGAAAAAAAGGTGATTATAAGAACAGAAACATACTGGCTTTGACGCATCAGGTAGGATCTGTTTAAGTTGTTGGAAGGCAAAGCTGGCTGCAGCTTCATCAGTCAACTTCTCAAGGTCATGTGCTAGCTGTCCTGCAGGCATATAAACAAGGACAGGGTGACCGGTCGCCTTGTGAAGATTAAGGAAATAGCTGCAGCTGTAAGTAGAGGATGAGACAACTCCAAGGAACTCCACACTAGGCCAGAAAACTCTATCAAAGTGCAATGCAATTTTGTTTTCTGTGCCAACTCCAATGTCTTTAATGGCTTCCTCCTTCCAATTTGGAAGCCTCGGCTCAAACTTAATAGAATTGGACTTCAACACTCCTAAGGGAACAGTAATGACAACAGCGTCGGCCACAAATGATTTACCATTATCGACTATGACTTCTACTCCCATTTTATCCCTTACTATTTTGGATACTCTGAAATAGCAGAATCGATAAGAAATGAAGTTATCTAAGAGCATAGTTATTTCTAATATAGGGGTACATACCGATGACCAAGCCGGATATCCAGATCTCTAGCAAGGGTATTGATGACAGGACGATAACCCCGCACCATAAGAGCATGACCACCAGGCAATAAAACTTCCTACAAACATCAAGAAAAAGTAACTTAGAAAAAAAAAAGTTAATATAACAAGAGCACTAAGAAAAACTCAAATATGAATGCATTATATATCAACCCAAATAATAAAGGGTGAATTTACACTAATATACTAATGCTAGGAGACTGGTTGATAGAAACCACAACTTTTTGATGACTCGAAAGTCACGAGTTTCTTAGGTAATTGAGTTTAGGTGGTCCAGCTAATATTAGTTCGTTTTTTTAATCAGTTAAATAAGCATATTTATAGCTAATTTAGTTCATATTAGGTGGTTCCAATGTACTTATTAGGTCATTGAATTTACCTCTATGAATTATGAAAAAATCCATGTTTAAATGAGAATTTCCGACTCTACTACTATAGTGAAAAAAATGAAAAGAAAATATTATTGGATCATTATTTTCGCATATAGCTCACAAGAAACAAAAAGCTCAACTTCTCCTCAACCAAATAGAAAATAATAATTTTCATTTAATTTTTCATCAACCAAAAAATGGATCAAAACTTATTCCAATTGAATTTTTTACAATTTTCATTTCCTTTCAATCAATTCCTTTATATCAAACCGAACCTTGATATTTTTTAGTACCATGAAGAGTCATTATGTTAGAGCAACAATTATATTAAAATTCAACAAATATAACCATGATCATTCTTAAGAAAATATAGCATTCAGGCTTCTCATGCATGATTATAGCCATAAAGAAAAAAAAATGCAAAAAAAACAACCAAAGCTTGCCTCATCCCAATATTTCAAGGAGATGGTATCTGCATCAGCAGCAAACCATCCTTCTAGCCTGCACAAGTACCATTTCAGGACCTTATCTGCAAGCCCTTCTAGCCTATAGAAATACATGAAAATTAGAAATAATATTAACAAACTAAAAGGCAAACTTTTGCACCTTCCATACCTGAGATCTGGCCGTCTTTCAAAAACCATGGCAATTGCTTTGGTCATGGACATGTCATTGCTGATTTCCTGCCTCAATTTCTCAGTCTGTAGATTTAAATGAATCAGAGCATTCATTTGAATTTCAGCCAGTAAAACAGTAAATACAGGACAATACATTACCTCTTTGAGCATGCTCTCAAATATTCCACCTACATGCTCTACTAGTTCTTGAGGAACTTGATTCCCATCCGTATCATAAAGTGCATAGCTGCAAAGAAAAACATAAACAATCTTCTATGCAAATAAATAAATCACTTGCTGCAGTTTATAATAATACTTTAATAACTACCTTTCCAAATCATGATCAAACAAAACTGAGTCATCTCCACTGGTTCGATAGAGTGGAAGTCCCAATCTTCCAATTACAGGTGCCAAGGGATTTTTGACACAAGCACCGTGCAACCTGAGAAAGGAAGATGTTTAAAGAGGAAAAATAAGGAAGTCATCATTCAAAAGATATGGAAACAAATTCTCTGACAAAATGAAGAATGCGAAAAAAAGCTTAGGTAAATGTATACCATGCAGCTCCCATGTCAACTGGGAAACCAAACGAGTAATCAGTGTAAGCTCGACCACCAATCCTATGGCGTGATTCCAACAAAACAACCTGAATAATTGATTCAGTCAGCCCGCCAGCAGAGTACAAAAAGTAAGTGATTCTAACAAATTCTTCGTTTTTCAATTATGGTGAAAAATAAGATTTATTACCTTGAAAGATGAATTTTGGAGTGCACGGGCAGCTGAAATGCCGGCAAAGCCACCACCTATAACAATGACAGATGGAGAATGCCTTCCTTTGATAGTTGGATAGCAAGAGACTGAGATAGAATTATCATAAAGGTCGTTACTTTCTTGTATATGAGTGAGCAAAATGTAAAAAAACTGAAGGCAGAGCCAGATTTATGCTATGTTTAGTCTGAACGAATTGAGACAGGAAATGAAAATGGAAATGATAAAATATTGACTTAAAATTTGTTTCACGACCTGTTTGGTTGAGAGGAGAAATTGAATGAATGTTTTTTTTTTCTTGCTTGGCTGATGATAATTTGAGTTTAATTTCTTGTCAGCAAGGAACATGCGAGTCAATGAACTCAAATTTTCACTCGAGTTCGGCAAAAAAATGCATTTATTCACATTCTCTAGAGAAATTCAATTAACGCTTAATTATCTTGAAATCAAACACCCAAGATAAAACTCCAAAGTAAAATGCAGTTTCATTCCCTCCAATTCCTTTCATACAAAACAAAGCACTTAGTGTATTTTACATGGAAGTGGAGGATTTGTCCAAAAAAAAAGGCCACAATAAGGCTGTCTACGAGTAGGATTTAGTAAATCCTGTTACTCAAATCTAGTAAGTCATGGTAGGATTAAAACCTGAAAACTGTTTGGCAAGGTAACTATTAAAACTTGATAAATCCCAATAGACTGTTTTGGCTATTTGGTTTAAGATTTAAGGTATGTGACAAAAGTCCTTCCGTACATTAAATCTTGTGAATTATGGAAATGGACAAATCCAAGACTCAACAATAATAAGACTGAAATGGGATTTATCAAAAAATAAGTAAAGATTTTAAATCCCATAAATTTTGTCTAGCAAGATTGTGGGCTCCGAAAATTCGCACCCTGGCCTCTCTGTGGGCCCTTTTTTTTCTTTTTCAGCTCGTCAAGGAGAGTTTTAACATTTAAGTTCCGAGGCAAATTTTCAGAAGGCAGATTGGGTTTTAAATAAGACATTACTCACAGATTTTGCCCTCATTTTGTGAGAACTTTATGATATGAGTTCACGTTTCCTATAGGCGCAAGCCCCTATAATTAATTACCCCTCCTGATAACGAGAGATAACTTTCTATTAAGGCTAGTCGTCGAACAGACACGTAGAGCTACGTAGTATCTATTGTATTTGAAATTTTGAAATTTAAAATATGAAATTCAACACCTTGCACTTAAAGTGGATGGTATGGGGAATGATGATGAACCTGATCAAGATCCCATGGTTCTGTCATCCAAGGTCATCATGGTCCCTGATCTACTTAGTCAGAAGAGGTAGTCGACCCAACCTAACAAAATGATCCTTGTCGGCAGCCACGGATTGCTTCGTCCAAAGGTATCTTGTAGACCTAGGGTGAATATTTGTCTAAGATGACAAATCTGAATCCATCTTAGCTAACAGAGGACTTTGTGCCCTATCGATTATATCCTGTTGATATATATATATATATATATATATATATAATTTTACTATTGGACTTTTTCGCTTACATTTGAAATTGAGAAACCCTTTGTTCAACCTTATAAACTTTATATTTTCATACATTATAGTGAAAGCATCAAACCATTATTCAATCCATCCGCACAATTAATTACACGCATGAAGGATGCTAGCCTTTGCATGGGCAAGTCAAGGGTACAATTTCATCTATTACATTCAATGTAAACATTTTTCTAATATTATAGAGTACAACTACATGTGAGAAGAACCACATCATTTAACAACTGCTTTTGTTATATATATTGTGGACAACAAAAGTAGCAAAAAAGTTTTAAGAATATTGGCTCACACAGGATACTCTTGGCTTTCTAACTTAGCAATATCAGGTGCCAATCTTCACAAACGTAGCTATGAATTTCCTCAATTCTACATGATTTAATATATATAACTAATTTTTAATCCACTTGCATAAATAATTGATCTTTTATTCACGTTATGCCAATATCGGCATTGGGTTACCTAATAAAAAAAAATGTAATAGGTTTAATACCTTGAAAAAAAGTACTAAAAATCTTTTCTGATTCATTATAAGTTCATCACACCTACACAATAGTATCGCTATGGTTGGTTTATTGGGTTTCTGAACTAAGTATAACAAAATGTTGTTGTTGTTGTTGTTGTTGTTGTATAACAAAATGGGGTTTTTTGACCTATTTTTATTAGGTGTAATTCGTACTTCACTAATTCTAATACTCCTGCTAATAAATGCTAACCAAGATATCATAATTAATTCCCTGCTTGTCCCACTAGAACATAGATGGCATCATTTCATATTAAACCAGTAAAAATTTGTAAACTCCTTAAAAGCCCTACTAAATAGAAGGCAATAACCACTTATAGACAGCAAACATAAGGATTCTATTGGTAAAAACACATCTGATTTAAGTTTTAATTTAGAAGCAACACATAACTGGCTTCCAACAAAGATAACTATCGGAGCTCTCCATCAGGCAGTACCTCCAGTCCTTCAAAGAGCTCTTCACCAACTAGACCATCTTGCACTTGTAGTCAGTCGACTACCTCTAAACATGATCACTAGCTACTAAGAGGACTAGTTCAGTTCTCTTATCTTAGTGTCGATGACTATTAGAAAGTAAACCAAGGAAGAAAAAGTTAGTCTCTATATGCAGTAAGGCATCTACCTTTTATAGAGCTTAGAAGGTGTTAGGTATTTGCAAAAAAGTTAGTTAGAGTTGTAGATGTTAAAGTTAGTAAATTTATAAAAAACAAAAAATGTTGGAAAGATTGTTACGTATGTTAGATGGTAAATTTGCATAAATATTTGATAAGATTTGCAAGAAGAATTTAATTATGAAACTTAATAGATTCCCAATTCACCCAACTTATAAGCATAATACTTAGGGTTGTAATTAAATCAAATGAAGGTGAGCATGTCATGGAACAGACTTGGCTTGGTCATACAAAAACTTACTCAAGTTTGACACTGTGTTCATATTTAGCTTGTTTAGAATTATTTATGATCAAACTTGGCTTGTACTTGGCTCACTAAATTAATCATTCGAGTACTTAAACAAATTTATAAATCAGTTCATAAATGAATTATTATGCGATTATCATATTTACAACAAATTTTATAGGTCTAAATAAACAAACAGTTCAATAAATTTGATATTAGTATTCAACTATCTAACATTAATTAAATAAGCACCAATTAAACAAGATACTAGCATGATTAAAAATTAATTTTGGATTGAAAAGATGTATCGAAATTCAAAGGAGAGTGACGTTTAAATAGTAGGATTGAAAATAAGACATGAGGCTTGCATATTATGATGGAACAACGGCATGTTAGAGAAGATGCGTTAAGATCTAAGACAATTTATCTATTGCAAGCAAGCTCAAAAGGATACAAATCACTCACTTATGATTCTCATGCAGATGCACTCTGATTACTACCTAGGCAATGTTGGAGAGCAAAATAGTATGACTAAAATGAATTGAGGACTGAAAATTTGTATCAAAATTCAGATGAGAGTGACGTCTCAAAGTGGGATTGAAAAGAAGACATGAGGGTTGCACATTATGATGGAACAAAGGCATGATAGAGAAGATTTGCCAATAGCTAAGAAAACTTATCGATTGCAAGCAAGCTAAAAAGGATAAGATGCACTATGATTCTCCAGCAGATGTGCTCTGATAACCCCCTAGGCATGTTGGAGAACAAGTGCCAAGGGCTAAAACAAAGTACTCATAGGTTGTGCTCCCAGGCACATCGATTGTAAGCAGGTTGAGAAGGAGAATATATGTTTACCTTTAAAGGCTCAAATTCTCAATGTACAAGACACATGCCACTTCAGAGACAACCAAAGTGTGCATAACGATATGTGAAAAATAAAAATAAGAGAGATAAAAAATAATCTAGCCTAATAAATACATTTATAATATATTAATATAGAAATGATTATCAAACAAGTTGTATTAAAAAAAAACGTATTTGAATATTATATGAGTTGTCCTTTATTGGGAACAACTTTTTTAATTGCTTTTTAAAATAGTTTTTCAGTAATTTTTTCTTCCAAAAATTTTTTTTTTCTAAAAATTTGACTTATAAAATTGTACGAAAGTTGTTCCAAACAAGCCTAAGCCTAATATAAAGCATATAACTTAATGAGCTTACAACAGATGCTAAACAATGTTCAATTACTAACTTGAACAAACATTATTCAGCAAGTTCTGAGTTGTTAGTTGAGTGCGTTAGTTTACCTACAATCTACTAATGCTCCGACGACATTAAATATTAACTAAATCAGAGTTCAATACTAGTATTCAACTTCTGCATCTCCGAAACATGGAAAGACGAAAAACCAAACCAAAACAAAAAAGAACAAAGAAAATTTAAACAGATTAGACAAAACATACCTTTCTTAATATCATTACGGCTCTCCATATATCTCCGCTTTGTGGTTCCCGCTCCAACGAAACCTCGAATTAGTAATCAAAGGGGACAACTGAGGGGAATACTCGAGGATAAAGATCAGGAGACAGGTATTGAAGTGATTCGAATACGATGAGAAACCCAGGTCAACGGAGCAGCTCATGCGGATCCTCACGGAACCTCTAGATCGGACGGCAATGGGCCTTAATTAACACAAAAGATCCGTTCTCGCCGGACTGCGTCAGATCGTACCAGCGGTCGCTTGATTCTCCGAATCGAAGAAGTTGACCTCTTATCGCCGATCTCCGGTGATCTAAGCGTGTCCGCGAGATCGCAAAGAGAGTCGGAAAGAAGCAGCACACGTAAATTAGGCTTTGAAGCACTCTTTTCTTTTCTTCCCGTTTGGCGTTCCCTCTCCCCTTATTTATAGCTATTGAACCGTCGGTCGCGCTCTGGTCACTGATAAGTAATCTTACCTGCCGAGCACGCTAAGTGCAAACCGCGCACCACCTGTCCATTTATCTCCGTGGTATTTAAGCTAAGTCATTGTGAATCGTTGCTTTATGATCAGGCGGCCTGTGATTTATTTAGTGGTCAAAGAAAGTGATTTTTTTTTTCTTTTTAAAGTGAGGGTGTAACCCCAATTTCACAATGGGATTATTTGCCTAAATTATTTAAAATTTAGATGAGTTTAAAATAAAATATAAATAATTATATAATATTGAAATTTTATTGGATAAATTTTTAATATTTTGTTGACATTAGAAAAATAAAATAAGATTAAAAACAGTTAAAATAAATGAATATGTTATATGAGAGGAATAGTTTTACTAATGCAGCACCAAGATAAATGTCAATGGTAGCATCACAACTAAGGCACATCATCAGAAGTTGGGCTAATCATCATACAAAAATCTTCATGCAAGCTCATAAATGTCTCAAAATACTTCTAAAATGTTGGAGGATGATTTAAAAGCTTACTTTAAGGCTTTTTGATGGATAGATGATGATGTGGTGATCGTCGGAAGAATCAGACCTGCTTGAAGGATTTAATCCAAATCCAGGGAACAAGAAGAACACAAGGCTTCAAAAAGTATATTATTTCATTCAATGATCCCCTCTCCTACTACAATGCATACCTATATAAACTAACTCTAGAAGATTCTAGAAAAACTTATAATAAACTAGATAAGATATTCCTAAGGAGAACTATTAGCTATGATGTTCCACATCATAATCCCCTAGTGACAAAAGGCCTCGACTACGTCGAGGCGTGTCGTCCGAAGGGAGATTGCGATCCTCCTGGGTCGAATATTTTGATGGCAGGCTTCAAAATTACCACATGATGAGGTTTTCCCCAATCCACGTGAGGGGGGTCAACTTTGAAATCATTGAATTGAACTAGTATTTCAAGAACGTAGAACTCAGCCGCAGAGTCCATCCGAGTTGTTATCAAAATTTTACTTCCCAAACTTCCACTAGATAGAGAGGCAAGCACACTAGATAGAGAGGCAAGCACATTCTCCCATTTAGTTTTATCCTGTTCAATATCAAACAAATTTTTCAGATTCAGACCCTTTGACGAAGCAATCAGTTCAAACGCATTCAGAGCTGCTGGTTGTTCTTCTTTTATCACCACATGTGATACGTGTGAGTCATTGAAAGCAACATCAATGTCATCCAAATTTGTTTCATACTTTTCATCAAAAATAGGGGGTTTGTACCCTTTCTAAACCATTCATCCTTCAATATTCCGGGAATAGTTATCCACGTCGTAGGGTTAGGATCAAGAATTCTTGAAATCAATCTTTTGGTACCATAAGAAAGCCGGGAAGGGAATGTGAAGTCTCCAGTTCCTATCTTTTTGTACAAATTCATGATATTATCATTATCAAAAGGTAAGTACCCTGCAAGTAATACAAACAGTATAACCCCACAAGACAACAAATCTGTAGAATCTCCATCATAGCCTCTATTGTTAAGAACCTCGGGAGCAACATAATTTGGAGTTCCACATGTGGTGTGAAGCAAGCCATCATCCCCTTCATCATTGGATACATAACTTATTGCATATCTATTTTTAGAAATAGAATCTTGATGATAGCAAACACTTATGTTTGTCTATGGCTGCTTTGCCTACTAACATTTCAGGTTCACAGGATCAAGACTGCAATTTGAACTAGCTCAAGATTGGATAGACTAGGTCTGAGTTAGTTTATAAACCTTTTTTTTCTTGAGTCTATTAGTAATAAATGTGGTTCTTGATGCTAAGTAACCTTACACACACACACTTGGGGGGATTTTTTCTGTCTTATTTAGAGTTCTCTATTTTGAGGACATCGTCCAAGATGATCCAAATATCATCCTGGAAGATCAGTTAAAAATAGAAAGTCTAATTAGGACATTCTTATTAAGGCAATCATCATCAAGCACATCATCCTTAATGATATTTGTATCGTTCGGGATGATATGCTCAAATCAGAAAGAATTAGCTGTCAGATCTATTTATGTATTATTTATTTTTGGACATCGTCCTAGATGATGCACATAATTATGCATAAATTAATCTGGTAATTAAAAAAGTAATTAAGGCTTGATTGATACGATCATATCATCATGGACGATTGTAAGATCATCCGGGATGATCAGTTCAAACTACCTTAGTTGCTCCTAGATGATCAATATCAGATAGCTTCTATTTAGGGCGATGCTCTAGATGATTTTCACGGATTTGTACTAATCGTCCAGGATGATCGTGAGATCGGCCTAGAAACGATCAAGCTATTTTTTCATCGTCCAGACATCCATTTAGTGCGATTAACTGGAAGATATTCACCAATTTGTACTAATCATATAGGATGATTTTATATCGGCCTGGACGATATGAACAAAATTCATCTGATCGTCCCAGATCATCCTGACTGATTAAGCTTAAATTACACTGATCGTTCAAGATGATAGAGTCGGTTCCTGGCAATTAATGAGCTATTCTGAAGCTCTTCTATTTAAGAGCCCTTGTTCTACCCTTTAGTACATCTTTTGCTGCTGTCTTGACCTAAGAGAGCCTAGAGGAGAGGGAGAGAGGGAGAGAGAGAGAGAGGATCTTGTGAGAGGGAGTTTGTGAGAGGGTTTCACAAATGTTGCTCCAAGCTTTGATCCACATCTTCTTCTTCCATCATAGTCCCTTGTCGTTGGAGGGTTGAGAGAGTTACACTTCAGCAATCGATCAAGGTTCTCTGCCTGCTTCAGGAGGAAGCAAAAGGAGTTGGGTTCTCTTCCTCACTGGTGTCGGTGGAAAGGAGTTTTGTAAAGGCTTCTCGGCCTTGCTGTGGGAGAAAAAGGAGAGTCACTGAGTTTTAGTGCAATACTCGAAGGGCGTCTCCGGGGAGTGGAAGTAGGTCGTGTTGACCGAACCACTATAAATCTTTATGTTCTTTACTACTATTTCTTTCGCATTTAATTTCTGCACTTTGATTATCATTGTGGTGAATTTTGGTTTTAGTTTTTATATTTTAATTGTTTGAAAGATTTTTAAAATACCAATTCACCCCCTCTTGGTTAGCCTCGGGCTAGTTCATAAGGGCTTAACATTCCTAACAAACTTTCATAACCATTAATCATCAAATGCGTGGAGTCCAAACTTCTATCAGGCATTCCATCAAACGTCCTGCGTGCATCCTTCATGCTCATTTTATGATCAAATTCCTCTGTCGTTTCACCTTCATAGACATGTTGTAATAGAGTTATCTTTCCCATACCACCATGCCCCACTATAGATAGAAAATAAATGTTTACGTACAAATCAGTTCCGGAATGCTCACTTAATGGCTTCCTCAACGACTGCATAACACTCCTTATCCTTGCTTCTATTAATGAGATCATTTCTAGGCAAGGATCCTGTTTCACGTGCTATGTACAACTCACGCTGCTGCTTCTACTTTGTGCATTCTAAAAGATGAAGAAAAGTTCTAAACTCAGCTGTAACTTTATCAAGTTTCTACACAAACTCCTCTAGCCTCTTCAAGTTGGGTTCAGATCCTTTAGCGACATTTTGTCGAACAGCTTGGGAGCATTACGTTGGATCAGCCTTGTCACTAGAAGTTAAACTGGGCATTTTCACACCTGCAGTAAAAATGTCCTCAATATCAACATTGGTATTCTCCAACTTCACGTATCAATTCCTACCACCAGTGGTCTTCTTCTGTGAAGAATCGGTGGATGGATTGGCAGGTAGGCTCCCCTTCTGCATCAGATTACAACTGTTGAAGGCCAATATGGATGTAATCTTGTCATCTGCTGATGGTGATGTATATTCTGTGTAATATAGCAGTGAGTTGCACAACGCTTTTGGCCGGAGTTGTAAGGGAAATATGCTTTGACCTGCATTGGAAGAACTGGTGCTTACATCATCAGGACCAAAAGGCGGTAGAGGAACTTGGGCCATGTACCCAAAAGGAGGAAGACCATCGAACCATAATGGAATTTGCATTGTCAAGGATAAAGATTCTGCATCTTTCTCTATTCTAGGCTTAGGTTTTGCACCTCTTGACTGTTGCTTATGGGCATGGTGTTTTCTAGCACCAGATCCAACATCGGTTCCGACGAAATCTTTGTCTTGCTTCTCCAGATCGAGTTGCATATCAAGATTCCTCTCCTTGTCATCCTGCTTCTTTGAATCGTCAATATTTTGACAATCCTGAACAATTTCTTCGGGTTTCGTCCTCATCTTTTTCTCCATATTCTCCTTTTGTTCTTTTTGAAACCGCCATTTTTTGTTCCATCTCCATCTTCACAGATTTGTGTTTGGCAATGAAATACAAGATCGAGCCGAGGATGGATTGCTCGACAATCTCAAGGGTGGAATCGAGTTCGATGCCAGACACGCCAGGCATGGAATCAAGGGTAGAGTGTTACAGATGCATAAGCAGAAAATTGTGCGCTTTATCAGGTTGGATGCTTGGCACTGGAGTGGCGGCACTCAAAATTGGAAGTTCTGTTAGACGAAAGCTGCGAGCGACGACAACGGGTTGAGTGCGAAATAAGGGATCAGGCAGAGGATCTCGCCATTAGGGGGGTCGCACCACCGGAGAGGAAGCACGAGCGGAGGGTAGTCATCGATCGCAATCGATTTATTTTGAAACCGTTTGCTATCCCGTGAAGCGGAAGTGAGGAGCGAAGATGAAGACATCGGTATGGTTGCCGACGGCATTCTCATTATCCTTATGGATCGAAGATTTTTGTCTATCCGATCAAGGTTTTTGTCTACTGGATCAAGTGATGCCTTCACTTGAGCTTGATAGAAGGCTATACAACTTCGATCATCGTCGATAACCCAGCTTCCTCGGCCTCGATCGTCGTCGACCGCCAATCTTATTCTTCAGCATCGATCGTCGTCGACAATCCACCTTC